CCAAATTGACGCTTCAGAAAGGTAATCTTGGCTCTTAAGTCGTCTGTAATATCCGTCTTGCTTGATAGATTAGTCGAAATATGGTAACTAGTCACGGGATAAGATGCGTGACTGATATATTGCACCTGATTGTGAGTACGCTGCATATGGGTGAGATCCCAGTGGATAGCCTTAAATGGGGACGTTCCGGTCGTCATGGGACGCCTTGATATCTAACGTTTTACCTTGCTGAGCTGACACGTCTCGCAAATATGTAGAAATATTGACGTCTTGTCGATCTCGATGCTAGTTGTCGAATCCTGGACGTGCTGCACCACTTCCTTGCTCACATGACCTAGACGCTTATGGACGAGCTCTATGGTTGCCTTGGTTATATGGGGACTAGACGACGTCCCATAGGCAACTGGTCGAATTGGCAAGATATTTGATTGTGCATGTGTGGTAGTTATATTAGGCTTATGGAGGCTGTCAATATGGTAGTTTGACGTGAGAAATGCGTTCTGAAACACGTTCTCTTTGTCCCATTTGACTAGCAATATGCTAGTTTGATAATCCACCTTGCATAACCAGTTGCCAGCTTTGCCTTCAAGGTAGCTAGTCCGGTCGTTGAGATACACACCTGCTGCACGTGCACGCGAGGCGGAAATGAGGTTGACGTGGAATGATAGGGAATATGCGACGTCATGGAGGTCGAAGCGGCTATTTCCCTTGGTTGGCTGGAACAAGACTGATCCAACACCTAGAACCGGCGTTCTAGTATCTCCGACTTTGACGTATGTGCTCCGTTCCACGAAATTAGAGAATAGCGATCTGTTATTGCATATATGTGTGTTTGACCCTGTATCAAAGGCCTAATCTGGACAATTCTGCGGTGCTGAAATGTGGTATGACGTCCGAATTGGGGTCTTTTGCGGTTGATTCAACCCGATCTGGTTGAATATAGTCAGCATGCTGACCGCGTTAGTACCTATATTATCCTTTTTGAACTTGTCTAAGGCTGTCTTGAATGGTAAGCTCTTGCTAGCTGCTCTCTTAAAGCGTGAATCCACGTCTTTATCCCATGTATAATTCGCTGGTCTCTTTGACGGATTGAGGTAGGCGCAGTCCTGGAATCGGTGATTTCCGTCATTTGGTACATTCTGACAGGGACAGCGAGGTGTCCGTTTAGTTGATTTGCCTGATTTGGACTGTTCTGCCTGGTCTGGAATATCCTGGAACGTGGCATGTGACTGGCGGAATGAGGTCGTCTTGGGTTTTTCAATATCGAGATTCTGGCTGAAACTTAGACAAAGTTCGTCAAAATCCACTTGAATATTTTTCTTGATCTTTGATATGACCTCGTTGTAGGTTCGGTTATGCTATAATGGGGTAATATTGTGCACGGCGTCTATGAAGTCTAGAGGTGCACAATCCGTCGTCTGTACGATGGTAATTCCCTCTATAATACCTTTATGATATATTGTCTGCACCTGGATGACCTAATCCTCAATTTTCTGACCCTGAGATGGGCCCTGGATCGTCTTCCTCCACCGTTTTTCGACTGTTCTCCAGTGCAAGACGTCTCGCTGATTATATAGGAGATATAATGCTCGCAGCATCTCAAATCTAGTTGTTTTATTAATCAAAAACTCCTTCATTGACTTATTGATCGTAGATTGTAGGGCAATTTCCACTTTGCGAATTCTCTCTGACACGTCTTTGACCTCTAGGCGACGTTTGACTTGTCTGTTGTATAATGCATTGTCCACGTTGATATCTGTGATATCTGGTACCCTAGGTAAAGCTGCTTGAGGTGCATTTTGTTCTGGGTTGATATAATCCCATACAGTTTGCTGCTTAGTAAGACGCTTAATTTGGGTATACCAGAGTTGCTAGGTGGTAGGACCCGTTAGAATCACATCTATGGATGTAGACATGGTGGAAGTAAGGTTAAAATGAGGTCAAAGTGAGAGATATGTGAGAGATAATTGAGGCTTGAAGGATAGGACGTGATTTTTGGGGACTTAGAGATTCGTATGGAGGATTCTGAGGATTCTGGACGTTCTGGAACGTTCGAGGATATGCAAATTGTCGAATTCTGAGCTTGAGGAGCTCAATTTTGGCGAATATGGAGATGAGGTAGAAGAATATGATAGACAATATTGTGGGGTAGGCCCACAAGATCAGTCCGAGCTCCACCTAAGCTCCACCAGGTGGGATATCAGAATTCAACGTTGAATTCTCCACGGAATATGGAATAGAAAATATATGAAGAAGGAAGAATTCTCCACACGAAAATGGGGTATATATAGCAGGATATTACCAGAATTTTCCAGTAAACTTGCAGAATTTTTACCCATAAATAATAAACACAAACAACAAACACACAATTTATGTGTTTATATAACACAAACACACACAAACACACAAACAACAAACACACAAACAACAAACACACAAATAACAAACACACAAACAACAAACACACAAACAACAAACACACAAACACGTATAGATACGTGTAGGTAACACACACGTCACACGTGTGGACAGAGAACACAAATTCTGACTTAGAATTGCGTCAAAAATGGTGAAATATGAAAATATCACAATTCAGAGGTAATTCTATGAGGCTCTAGCTAACTAGCAGGCTCAATAGAATAGAATATGAGATATCTCTAGACTAGAGACTATCTCAGAATAACCCACACATATAGCTACGTGTGGTTAAAACGACCTAAATCATGTCTGTCTAAGGTTGGTAGGGCAATTGGTTACCAATCTTAGGAAAAAACGACACGAATAGCGTCAAAATATGAGGATATTGTTGTGCTTAGAAAGGGCACACCAGGCTCATAACTGTCTAAGATTGGCAGGGTAACTGGTTACCAATCTCAGGGAATTAGATCAGATGAACAAGGCAATGTGGTCAAGCTGAGCTAATTCAGGGTCTTCTCAGGAAATTCTCAGGATAGAAAGTGGAGAAGAAATTGGCATGAGATTCAAACTATTCTACCGAAATACGAGAACTAAATACCTGAGATTTAGAGAAGAAATCAAACAGAACAAACAAATCAAGTAAAATATCACATGATATGACATAAATGAAATAGCGGAGAATTCCGGTAAAAAAGTGCGAACTCAGAGAACACGTAAGGACTCCATTCTCTGACATTACCACATTTAGGTAAAGCCCGCTGCTTTGGTGCTTGCGAGGCCTGTGCCGAAGGCACCCGCGGACCTGGTCTTACTTGAAAGAACGAATTATGAGCCTCCTGGAGCTCGAGAGCCTCCTATATAGATAGGCCATCTTCGTGTGCTATCCACCTAGTCGTACGTTCACGTCTCTTCTTTTGTATGTTGTGTTCCTCACGTAGTAGCTTATTTTTTGCCTCGAGAAGGATACCGTTTTGCATAGTAATTTGATAGCCTTTGATAAGCTGGTTTAACGCGGTTTGGGATGGTGATGGAGGGCTTCTTGAGCGTTGCTTTAGGAAAGCTTTAATTGAGGATGCTTGCTTATAAAGCTCGTGAATGTTCGCGGGTGTATATGGATGAAACGTGCTTACTTGACTTCCGCGGCTTGTTGGAGGTATAGGCGTACGAAGTTGAATATTAAGCTTTAATAGAACTAGCTTAGGATTATATAGTACTAATCCTGCTGCTTAAAAGCTGTTTTAAATTATGCTTAATTCAAAAGCTTCCGCACGAGCTTTTGGATAGGCAAGAAGGAAGCCGAGCTTATCGATATGGCTAATTCTAAGCTGTATTTTTTAGCTCATAAAGTTACTGTACGCGCGCTTTAGAACTATAAAATATCCAATATCAAGTAGTTATAAAAGATGCGAAGAGTGCGTAGGTATATAGATTAGAATAATATCATAATCCGCGTAGATTTAATTAAATCTTAATATGAGATAGCTTCTATATCTATTAAGAATAAGAAGTCAATATCGCCCACGCGTATAGTGAGTTATTAATAGAATAAATTATTTTTGAAGCTAGCAAAGGCCTATCTCATCGGTTATCTATCTATTTTGACTAACTTTAAAGCGCTAATCGTGTGGAAGTTCTTTAAACCACGCTTAATTATATTGCTTTCCTTTAAAGATTATCGTTAGTGGAAGCGCCTATCCTAACGCGCTAATTAACTTGATTATGGTTACCTACTCACGATTTCCTAGCTATAAAACTAACCTCTGACCGTAGTATTCTACCTAGGTAATCACTTTTTATGTTGAATAAAGCCCCATCGCGAATCTAGTCTCGTTAAAGTTATAGATATTGTCCGCGTAGGATACTATATTACTAGATTATGGTTTAGACGAGGTCAAACTATTCTTAAATAATCTTTAGGTCTTCTTATAATGCTCGTTAGTAGTTATATCGTCTTAAGAAGCGTGATTTAAGCTCTTAATAACGTTAGGTAAAGTTATATACCCATTTTTCGCCGACGGTTTAAATCTAGGTAGAACCACGTTTTTCGAGGAGAATATTAGCTATCTCTTATACATGAGCTTATGTAGGGGCTGCTCTACGAAGATCTAGAGATAATATCTATTACTTAAGGATATTCTCTTTAATTTTAGTTAATTTATGACTATTAGCGCGAGTTTTAGCCCGATTTATGGTGCCGCGTAGTTGACGCGTGAGCGTATAGCGATCGACTTAGAATTAGCTCGCGGCTTGCCGTATAGAGGCAATTTCCTTGTTTTTTATAGCTTTTATAGCAAGCAATATACGGCCTTCTTGTTGGATAGAATCCTGGCTTAATATACCGCGTTTTGAAGGCATGGTGGTGGGTTGAAGATAGACGTATTCTTGGGAACGCGAAATTTTGGTTAGGTGGCTCACTCGCTTATATGGCTCACTCGCTTACCGACCACGTTACATAAGGTGCTAGGAATATGAATTCCGTGTTGAAATATGTCTATATATATCTTATAAACACGAGGAGTAATGAAATGGCGCCAAATCCGGGCCCTAGATGTTGATATCGACGGCTGCAAAAACCAACCTGATTACGCATATCCTTTCTCATTCTCTATGAACCAACACACGCTGCGCTCCAGGCCTTCCTGCATACTCACTTTGGGGTGATACCCAAGCACCTGTTTGGCCTTTTTTCCATTGAGTGTGCGAATAAGGGTACTGAAGCGAATACCCTCGCGAGTCATATTAGCCTTCTTAGTACCGCCGGAAACCACCCATGTAGCCCACTCATTCACAAATCCAAGTGTTAATCCAACCCACCTCGGGATCGCCACAATATCCTCAGGCCGGATTGGGTTACCCGTAAGCGCAGAAACAGCTCTTTGGAAGTCCCAAAAGAGCCAAGGGTCTTCATTCGTGATATGAAAACATTCACCATCGATGCGGGGTGTAGATGCGTTGGTCGGAGGAGGCTTCCCCCAGGCCTTTAGAAGACCATGAGCAGCTAGGAGGTGTGCATCTGCAAGGTTCCCGACATAGACAAAATCATACGGGTTCTGCCCATCACCCATCTGGAATCGGGACTTGCCTTGGCTTGCAACGGCGAACATCTTACCAAAGGTGCCGACATCGCGCTCGCCAAATGCAAGACTGGGTCGGATCGCGCAAGTCAGGATTTGCTGATCGCCTTGGCCGCCATTGCGATTAGCGGCCTGGATAGCATCTTCTGCATCTGCTTTCGCAATACAGTAAAGCCGCTGCTGTTGCGGAGGGCGCAAGATTGGCATTTCCTCTGTAGCATCGATAAGATTGGTATGGTTATCGTTGATAACCCCTGAGGTTGAGGTATTGACTATGGCTCGCACGGTCTTCACCTTGACGGCGGCATCGATAAGGTGATGAGCACCATTAACAATGATGCCGCGGTAGGCTGATTCAGGGGCGTCGGAGAATTCTGGGGACGCAGTATGAAAGATAGTAACAGGGCGGGCGATCTGCATGATGCGCTGCACGTCCTGGAATAAGGCCAAATCGCCATGGTGGTAGTGCACGTTTGCTTTAGAATGGCGATTGCGGTTAACGTTCACATCAATCGAGTGGATGATGCAGTTAGGTTCCTCCTCAAGAATTTTGGCAATGATATGGTACGCTATGAAGCCATTGCCACCGGTAACAAGGACAGGACCGATGCTAGACATATTACCGACGTCAAAAGATGGTGGTGGGTGGTAATTAGAGCAAAAAATAATAATGTCGGAATTGAGTGGAAATAAATTGAAATGAAGGAGGGGAAATGAATTGAAATGAAGGAGGGGAAAGAAATCACGCTTAGCTGCTGTTTAACTGGATAAGAGCAAGTGCGGTACATATCCCTTACTAAATAAAACTCCGGGTACACCTATCAGGTTACTGCGATACAGCCATGCCAATTGCCTTGTTTTAGTACCTTTGACATCGCATAATACTGTCATACATAGTCTAGTCTAGTTCGACATGCGTTTTTGAGGTATAACCAGTTCCCCATTTCTGACCTTGCTAAGATGAAAAAGCATACTTGCTTTCTCAGCCGCATCGCCCCACTCAGATCAGTAACTAGCATGACTGCTGCTATTTTAAACCATTGAAACCTTACTAGATTCTCAAAATCTAGCATTATCGCTCCAATAGTTAAAAAAAAAATCCCCCATAGTGGCAAGTGAGAAGACTGTTTAATCAGTCACTCCCTAAAATCAGAATCAGGCTCAAACTGAATTGTTAGTGAGAAACTCCAGCTCCCGGGCGTCAGCCCGGCCATCTGACCTGTTGTTCTTCATTCTTTCCCAATTATGACATGTCGGTGTTCTGCTAGACAAGTTGCTCCGCAGCGTATCTACACTATGACTGATCTAAGGAATCGCCTGTGTGCTATGAAGCAAAGACACAGCCGGACTACAAAAGGACGAGCCGAGGGAACGAATCTTCGCGAAGAAGATGGGAAAGATGTAGCGCATACGAGAGTGATGGTAATTTTCAGAAATAATTATATAGTATTTTGGGCTTAATTGAGCATCTTTGATACATACGTGAACTGGCCATTTGTTACGGACCCACTTAGTCCGCACCGTAGTTGTTTGGCGGTATGTCCTCCATTAAGGGGCAGCAAAAAGGGAATTCGGATGGCCTCGAGACTTTTGTGGCGCCATCGGCAAATGCTGATTCGGTCACTGAATGGTTGCTTTGCTCCATTCCTTTCTTGAACGCTCCACGACTAGAAATAAATAACTGTCTTGCTTTTATTGGCTTCCTTAGCATAATCTGGCAAAGTTCTTATATGATACAACCTTCGGAGTGCCACATGAAGACAGGAACATTGAGTCTCTACTACTCTAGAGTACTCCGTTAATTAGACATCGCCAAAACCTGAAAATGGGCCCGACTCTGGGCCCAAAGCCCAAATTTTGCATAAAACTGGTCTTGGCGCTCATAAATCTGCTGAATAATATAGAAAAATGCATAAAAAGACTGTATATCTTGATTTTTCACTAAAATAAGTAAATGTTTGTACTGTTTGTAGACTAGTGGGCCCCCAATGGGCCCCCATCAATGGGCCGAGCAACGGGCCCAAAACCCAACCCATTTGTGGGTTGGGTTGGGTTGGGCTTTGTTAGGACCATAACTCTCCCGGGCAGGAGCATAGCCAACTGAGCCAAAAGACTAATTATATCCGCAAGCTGCGGATATACCCGGGTACCGATTGATATAGTAGCGCACTCTGTGTTCGCGACGTAACAGGCTTTGGGCTTTGTGGGTTTTGGCGATGTCTAGATGCGTGGTTCTATCATGCCGCGGCCTGCCAAGATTCCGGTCTCGCGGATTTAAATGCCGAAGGTTTTACTATGTCTCGATTTTATCTTGGAACAGGGGCGTTCAGAGGATTGCAGGTGTCGTGGAACTATTTTGTTGGCAAATTCATCCGAATAGCCCTATTTGATACATCCATCCGAGTCGCTGGGCTGAACGTTAGGGCTGTAAGTAAACGACAATCTCTTTTACCACCCTACATGTTTGAACACATAATAAGAAGTTCAACGGATGTGAATTGAGGTAGTAAGATCTTTAATTTCTAACAATTAACAAAAAATGGCTTGCAACAGACAATATTCACGTTTTTGCACTGTATGAACGCCAGACAACTCCAACTCAAGCATGTTCTTTCATCTCAACAGAGCAGTCGTCCTTTCCGTCATTATGAGCCACCAAGTCCGCCTCCGTCACCTCTCCTTTAGGCAAATTCCGGGCCATAGAAACAATCTGCCAAGGAGACGAAGCATCCTGGAACACATGGTTCAGTAATTCCAAGTTGCGATTCATAGTCTCTGGGAAGAAGAAATATACCACCACAGGAATACAGGCGGACAAAATCGCATACATTATATAGTACTGGTAGCCAATGGTATCAAGAGCCACCGGAGTAACCATGACCACAACGAAGTTCCACATCCAATGATTCGCAGTAGAGATAGACGCCATAGCGACTCGCAGACGCATTGGCGCAACTTCAGTGCAGTACAAGAAATTGCCACCCAAAAAGCCAATCGGGTAGAAGAGGTTGAACAGGAAAATCAAACAAGCTGAAGCAACTGACGCGTGCTTGTTGTTCGAGTCAAAGCTGTTTGTTATAGCCAAACCAGCCATACAGGCTGACATGCCCGCTCCGCTGATGATGAACAACTTGCGTCGGCCGAGACGGTCGATAGCGAAGAACGCAATAAAGCAGCAGAGAAACTTCCAGGTAAGAGCACTTGCAGCCAGGATAGATGAAAGGTTGGAACTCATGTGCAGATTACTCTTGAAAATTGTAGACGCGTAGACGGAGATGAGGTTACCTCCACACATCTGCTGGAAGAACTGTAGGACGATGCAAAGACTGAATCGGTAGAGCAGACGTTCTTCGTCGTTTTTTGAGAACATTTCGCTAATTGCCCCCTTTGACTGAGAGGTGGCTTCCAAGGACAATTCGATGCCGGCGATCTCAGATTGAATGCTTTCATCATCGGGAGAAAGGCCCTTGTAGGCTGCTAGATTTGCAGATGCTTCCTCTACTCTATTGACGCGAACGAGCCAGCGAGGCGATTCGGGAAGAAAGAATACAGACACCAAGATGACAATGGAAAAGAAAAAAGATACCGCTAAAGGTCCTCGCCACTGTCTAGTGTTCGTGTCAGGAAGCTTCGTGAATGCAAAGTCGATCCAATTGCAAAGAGCGTATCCAAGACACATGAATACACCCGCGATGATGACATTCTGGCCACGATTCTTGGCAGATGCAGATTCAGACTGCCAGACCGGGACAGCGACACTGAATTGGCCAGTTCCCATACCAAGAATGATTCGACCCACGGTAAATTGGATCAGTGAGTAAGCTGAGACCTGAAGCACTTGACCAATAATAGTGAGGATTGAGCCAACGAAAATGGTCTTTCGACGGCCAAGACGTTCAGATAAGACTGTGCAAGAAAGGGCGCCTATCAGTGCTCCAATTTGAAAAGAGGCGATGACGGCACCCTTGCCGGTGGAATTCTTCGCTTCCACAGCGCCTGTTGTGTTGACCGTATCGATTTGGGGAAACACGCGAACAAAGCTTTCCAGGGTTGCGAGGGGACCAGCGCCAGCTTGGTTGTATCCGAAAATAATAAAAGCTGGGGCCACGACGAGGACGATTTGGGCCAATCGAAGGGCCTTTCCTGTTAAGCCAAAGAATTTCCGGGTCATGTTGATTGATTTGAGACCAGCTCATGAAAGTTGAGAAAGAAGAGTAAATAAATTGATGACCAAAAATGGCGGCCGCGGTCCAGTTTTATAAAAATTTCTAGAATCGTACCATCCCCGAACCGTTAAATCTCCGTCGAGGCTTGGTGATGACCTGGGGACCCCATAAAACTGGGGAAACGGACCAAGAAATCCCCGCAAAATGGTGGATGGGGTGGTTCAAGGAGATCATCTTAAGAAACTTGATTCTTACTGGCTGAATTGCCGAAGGCAAAACTGCGTGGAGATCGATCCATGTCCGGCGGAGGATACAATGTCCGGTAGATTTGCGTCATTCGTTGCTTAGCTAAGTCATACCAAGGGCTCCCAAAAATGGAGTGATATGACCCGTGGGTCGGACGAGAGAGATCTAAAAGTCCGGTGTAATGTCACTAACCCGCGTTGAGTCTAATTTACTCTGACCGAATTTCCATTGAACGTACGAATTAAGCGTTACAAAATTGTGCTTAAATTAAGGAAACCGTTGTTACATTCAGGACTTGAAACTTCATCTCTGAATCATAGCATAACATCAATTGCATCAATTTCATACAAGTATATACTCGAGTACTTGTTCTAACTATCTATTTGGAACCCAGTCTCTTAATCTCAACGACAACAGCCGCGGTGACCTCCTTGGTTGTAGCCTTTCCAACCAAATCACGAGTGAGAACTCCCTGCTCGCAGACATTCTCAACGCATACAAGCAGCTTCTTCGAGGCCTCCTCCTCGCCCAACCAGGCGAGCATTTCGGCAGCGGTCCAGAAAGTAGCCACGGGGTTAGAGATGCCTATTCCTGTGATATCGAAAGCAGAGCCGTGAATAGGCTTAAACATGCTGGGGTACTGGCGAGTGGGATCAAGGTTAGAGGTAGGGGCGATTCCGATAGAACCAGCCAGAGAAGCAGCAAGATCGGAAAGAATATCGGCGTGCTAGAAGTTTTATTAGTAAGGTACTTCCTCGGGGTTAGAAGTATTTCTGTACTTACCAGGTTGGTAGCCACACTGGTATCCAGAGTCTCGGGCTTTAACACCATACGAGTAGTCATGGCATCAACTAGCATCTTGTCGACAGTAACATCCGGGAAGTCAGCAGCAACCAGCTTGGCAATCTCATTTCATCCTAGAGGACTATGCCGTTACGCTGAGCATTGCTCTTGGTGACGATAGTCAAAAGCTTACGAGGACGCTTCTGGGCGGTCTCGAAGGCGAAGCGCATCATTCTCTCAACTCCCACACGAGAGAAGATAGAGACCTCGGTGGCAACCTCCCATGCCTTGCCTTGGTGAGAACGACCACCTTGACCGGCGTATTCGCCTTCGCTGTTCTCACGGATAATCACCCAGTCGAGATCACCGGCCTTGCAGTTACGGAGAGGCGACTCGGTACCGCGGAAGACTCTAGCGGGGCGGACGTTGGCGTATTATTAGAGAGGCTGGCAAATAGCCAGGCGGAAACCTCACAGCGAGATATGGTCGGGGACGTCTAGGCCATGTTAGTAATTATGAATATCAATTAAAGAATTGGAATATTATATGTACCAGGTGCTCCGACAGCATCGAAGAAGATAGCATCGTGCTTCTTCAGCTCCTCAAGTCCGCCAACGGGAATGTACTTTCCAGTCTTCTTGTATGTCTCTGAGCTCCAGTCGTAGTTTTTGAAGTTCAGCTTGAAGGTCTGGAGGGTATCCATCAAGGCATTCAGAGCTGTGATACCGGCTTCGATAACCTCTGGGCCGATGCCATCAGCCGGGATAGAGGCGATGTTGTAGGTCTCTGCGGAAGTGATAGAAGGCGACATTATGATTCGAGTCTGAGATGAAGTTTGATCGAGATGTCGCGCAGTAGAGGGGTGTAACCTTGTGCATGCGGGGATTTAATGCCTTTTGTTTCTAGCTGTGATGGTCATGTCTGGGTCTTGATGGAGAAGAAGTATGGTGGTACCCCCTCACCTCCAATACTCTTAACCAATGAGGGCTGCCGCGTGGATTAACGGGGTCTTCCAAGGCCGGGCGGTTTTGTCGTTGGGTGGATACCCACGCGGGGGTTCTCATATCCGGGGACCCACCTGGAGAAAGACATGTCCGGAGGAAACGAAGTATATGACGCATCATTTATCCATGGATCCAGTCATAAACCGAGGCTATTCTATACCGGCTTGGAGATATTGTCTAGCTGCTGACTTCCTGTATCTGCATTGCTAATGACAACACATCTTGCGTTCATACTACCAGATTCTCGCATCCATCCAACAAGTCCACCATCACAATGGGTGCTCCTAAGATTCCCCAAGAGGACATTAACGCGATCCTAAGTTACATTATACCACACATCAAGCAAAATATCACCAATTAATCACCAGGTTCAATCAGACGACCATTCATTCTCGCCTTAACAGGCCTCTAAGGCAGTGGCAAATCCACTTAGACCTAGACATCGCCAAAACCCACAAAGCCCAAAGCCTGTTACGTCGCGAACACAGAGTGCGCTACTATATCAATCGGTACCCGGGTATATCCGCAGCTTGCGGATATAATTAGTCTTTTGGCTCAGTTGGCTATGCTCCTGCCCGGGAGAGTTATGGTCCTAACAAAGCCCAACCCAACCCAACCCACAAATGGGTTGGGTTTTGGGCCCGTTGCTCGGCCCGTTGATGGGGGCCCATTGGGGGCCCACTAGTCTCCAAAAAGTACAAATATTCACTAATTTTAGTAAAATATCAAGATATACAGTCTTTTTATGCATTTTTCTATATTATTCAGCAGATTTATGAGCGCCAAGACCAGTTTTATGCAAAATTTGGGCTTTGGGCCCAGAGTCGGGCCCATTTTCAGGTTTTGGCGATGTCTAGTTTAGTGTTAGTGAAAAAGATGTAATACCATTTAAATGTTGTTTTTGATGAATTAGGCCAATGAGAGGGGTTCGAAATGTCTTATTGAAATCTGTCGTTGTCCATGATTCAGGATGAGAATGGAGCAACTTCATGGTTAGACCTCGGGATTGTACTCGGAGTTCGACGTTCCAAGGTTGTTCGGTGCTTTTTATACGATAATGTTGGGCATTAGCGGCCACTCCAAAAAGTCTGTCCATAAAAGGGTGTCTGCTCTAAATTTGTGTACTTCCCTTAATGCAAATCACCTGGGCTTATTCCTTTATGTCATTTCGGTTTACTCATCCTTCATCACATTACTACTTGAACCTATAGAAGTAACCACAACCCCCCTTGAATAGAATTTTAGTCCCAGAGATTACCTGACCTAGTATTTATCCGGCTACCTGCTAATAGGTACCTAAGCTTTATTGGAGGTGAGGAAATGAAATCAAAGAGCAATGGCTGTCTGCGAGGGCTATAGACAATAGGAGAAGAGACACTTCCGCGAGGGGGGCGAGATCTGTTTACCCGAATGGGACCAGGCACATCAGGCCGCTCGAGGCGGCAAAAGTCATTGCCATTGAAGTACTTCAAGTAGGCACGGTGGTCTTGAGCGAAGGGAATCATTGCAAATGGATGGATAATGATGCACGGCACCAGAGAGTCCAAGCCTGGAAACCCAAGGCTCCAAGAGCCATCTTGTAAACCCGAGTGGGCAAGTGGTCGGAGGTCGTGTCCATGACAAACTAGTACTCGCCACGGGCCCGCGTGAAAAGAGGAGAAGTGTAGTGGAAAAGAGCCCCAAACGGGAACCGAGACAGAATCATGGGGGGACTTTAATTCGTGTGCACATATTCCAGGCGGAACCACGATCTTAAGTTTCTTTCTGGCTGAAACGCTTGGTTCCATCTTCAAATCGGTGCATGATGCTAAAGACCACCTCCCGAGTCTCGTGGTAGGCATAGCCAGAGAATTCAGCCATGTAACCCGGGGACGACATTGGACTTGATGAGCTCTTGCAAAACAAGAGTCTCCTGCTGGCGGCGAGAACTCTGCATGGCTTGCTTCTGATTGTCAGCAGCAACTCAATTCAGAAGCTGAATCATTCCGGGGTGGCGCTTGACCTCCAGGGGAATGTCACTGAGGGATTCACACTCAACAGCATGAGTGTCCATATTTTTTCTCGAATCCTGAGGTCTTAAAGGGAAGGACGAAGATAGGGGGTGCGCGGAGGAAAGAGATGATCGCGTGGCAAATGAGGAGAATATGGTGGGGAAATTAATGTCGACAGCGGAAGTGAGAGGGTAAGTGAAAAAAACAGGCGGTTGCGAAAAAGACACGCACTTGCCAGTTGTTCGATGTCTATAAAATTAACTCCACAACCCTCTCGAACCTACTTCCTTGCCAGAATTGGCAAAAGAGTTGAAGACCTACCTTGTCCTTGGTTACCGTCGACGGTGCCTACATGCCCCAGGAGTGGTTAATTTAAACACAGCAAGTTCGTTACTTCGGGATTCGATAACACCAATCTCACTTTCCGATCACATTGATATAATTATTCCCACGCGTAGAATGAAATGAGTGTATATTGGGGTAACTGTCTCGAAAAGCAAGCTAACGTCCTCCCTCTAGGTTATGTTGAAAATTTTGGCACCGCAACTACCAATGTCCGTCGGGGAAACCGCATTACCGGCACCATGAGACATCAGCGTGGAGCCGGAAATGCTCCACTGTCAATACACCAGTTGCGTAAAACTTAATTCAGATGAGGGATTTAGCAGGCTCAATCATCCACCATACCAGGTTATCCATAATTGAGACTAGTCAATATTGCAGAACAATTGAACAAGGATCGGCAAAAGTTTCTCCTGTTCTCTAGACGTCCTGGTCAGGGTTGACAGAACGTCAACAATCAATAGTGTCCAGTCTCTCGATTTGCGCTTGGCCATAGGTTCTAGAATCCAATGAACTCGTCCGGATACGAACTGAAATTATGTGTCCACATTGGCCCTCTTCAAGCTTTATTTGGGGTGTTTGGAAGGCTTGGGCCCGTTGCGGGTTGGCTGGACCGATTTCGGCATGCCTTGGATAGAACAAGTTTTGCGCAGCTCTCTTGCCACCGGGTGGTTGAAAGCGTAACAAGAAAACGAGAGTGAATTGGCGTATGGAATCAAGGTCAATCTGCGGCTTATTTCACATATTCCTTAATGGCATATTTGGTTGAGCAATGGGACCGTAGTGAGGGGGGGGGTCCACGCCTAGACAGGAACTCTCAGGACTGGTGAAGTCTAGCCGGTCCCCGGCTAGTCGGCACCTCGTAGAGAGAGAATCTCGACACCCCAGAAACTGATTCGACCCTACGCCGCCATTGCTCCATAAAGCGAAGGACGCAGAAAATTGTCGCCATCACTGATTTTGCAGCGCTCATTGTATTCTATATGGATTGCTTTTTCTCTTGATCGTTTCTCCGTTGTATTGTACACAATAGAGAAAACAATGACATTTACGGATCGAATTTGTCGAGTCTCCTGGGGCTGGTTCTCAATATTGATGAGCACTGGCAGCATCGGTACCCTGCTTTACAACACCCTTTATCAATTCCCTAGTACCCTCATCACTGGAAAAGTATTTTTTTCTTCTGGACATCGTTACCTACTCCGCAATATGGACCACTCTTCTAATACGCTTCTCTCACCACTGACACGCCTTCAAAGAAACTTTCAACGACCCAGAAGAAGCATATCTCATTCCAACTGCGGCCTTGGGACTCGCAACTATTCTTTCCGGCATTGAGTTCTACGGGTTACTGCCTGTGGCGATTGGCGACGATGCGTGCAATTGGTCTTTTTTGGGTGTATGTGGCTACAGAAATCCTCCTCGCCGTTGGCCTCAACTGACACTTATACCATACACGCTTGCCCACCGGTCAGCCATTCTGGCTCGTCCGACTACTACCATCCTTCCCGGCTATGCTTGCTGGAACTACTGCTTTACTATTGGCCGGTGGACAATCAGCAGACTTTTGCATTCCGATGATCATCGTGAGGATAGCTCTGCAGGGCTTCGGCTTCATGATTTCCCTTTTCATCTTAGCCGAATACTTTCATGGACTGCGTTGTGATGGTCTTCCGCCTATGCGTCGCCGGCCCCATATGTTCATTGCTGTTGGTCCACCCGCCATCACTGCCGTCGCACTCATGGGGATGCTAGAAATCCCCGTGGGAAAGCTCCTCCATTTTACATTCCGTTAGCCTCACATGTCACCACTGCAGATGTTCTGCTCATCTTGACCGTGTTTCTCTCAATATTCTTGTGGATCCTTTCTTTCTCCCTCCGGATGCTGGGATGGTTTAGTATCTTTGCCGCCCATGAAGAACGGAAATTCGACATCACTTGGTGGGCGACTGTCTTTCCTAAAGCCGGATTAGCATTGGCGACAATCAAGATTGGAGATCCCTTGACTTCAGAGCCGATTAAATGAGTAGATAGTGCCGCCACAATGATTCAAGTTGGTTTGTGGCTAGGATGCGCCAGTTTTCATGTCTGGGCATACTTTGCTTACCGCACACTTTGGCCCGGGATGGATGAGGGATTTGGGTCAGATGATCATATGGGCCGGGGGCTAGATTTAGAGGGCGAGGTACAACCTTATAAGACCCCTTCATATTGAGCGGCACGCTTATAGTATAGTTCTTGGCCGCATTGTGACAAAGGTTTTCGGGAAGGACCCAGCCCATTCACTTGCTCGCAGAGAAGCGGAAGTGGATTTGTCGGCTGTTAGCTAGCTGTTAGCTAGCGTAGCAGCATTCTTTAATAGCGGCATCGGTTTAGTTCAAGTTGATATAAAACCACTGAAAAATACGAGTTAGTCAAACATTCCTGTTCAGGTCTAATAGTTCTACATTCCACGTCATTTCATTGGTAGTTTGCTTTTCGACTTGCAGATGAAAGCGGCACAAAGACAGGCAACTTGAAGCAGCCAGTAGTTTGGGTAAGCTCCAGCCGTATGCAAGTGGCTTCACCATTCACCATTTTGAAAGTCTCTTTTCCAAGGCGACTAAGCTTATCTGTGAGTGGGTGTAAAGGACTGGTTAGCAGGCGGTATTTTTATTCCCATCCTCAGCTGATGTAATATTTCAATGAACAGTCACCTGCTGGCTGGTCTATCAACGAGAAATGCTATCCAATACCATGAAAAGTTGCGTCAAATCTATGAAAATTTGAAAGGTTGGTTTTGGATTATTGGTGGAAAGACCTTGTGTGGAAGCAAAAGCTACTTAATTCACATGTGGACCTAGCGATTTCTCTATTTTGTTTACAGTCTAATGTCGATACCACAGCCGCATTTCTAACTACTACGACTTACTCATGTGCAGTGCTCGCGCTAAAGTAACACTATATGGCATCACAAACTACCACTATCAAAATACTGCCAGGAATGATGGTGGACCCCAGGCGGAAGCTGGGTTGGCCGTGAATCCGGGTACGAAAATCGGGCTAACCCCGCCCGCCTTCACTTGCGGTCGCGCGCCAGAACCCGTCGAATGCACTACAAACATTATCGAAGCTCAAGTGAATCTCGTTGACAAAGTACGGTATGGAATTAGTAATGTTCCATATGCAGTGTCTTTTCCCACAGTCAGCTCTCGAGGGTTGCACTGCATGCCCGCGGATTGCAGACATTTGTCAGCAACGCACTTTTTTCTTGTCTGGACTAGTCTTACTTGACTCTTAGAAAAAGACTCTCGTGGATTGCAGCTCAACGATCTGCATACTTTCGACAATCCCTTAGTCAAGCCTGTTTTCTTGCAACAGCTGGATGCCGTGCAGTTCTGCTATTCTATCAGGATTTACCACCGGGATGTGAAGCCCGAGAACGTCGGCACATCTGGCCAATCAAAAAGCAAGAACCTATCTTGCGTCACTGTCTCTTCTTCGAACCCTTGAGGTCCGGTCTGTCCGATCGTCAATCGCCCTTTCAGCGAAATCACGCTGTCCAAAACGATCAAATGCGACGTCATCTGATGCTCAGAGGAAGGGCCTACCTATGTTCGCATCTGAGACACGTCCCAAGCCTACCGAAAGAGCTTGTGTTGCATAGTTTCAAGACATTCGGCCGAACCATAGATCGTACGACAATCTCTTGAACTCTTTCATCTCAATATAACTACATGGACAATGGCGAAGCCGGAACTACATCAACAAGATCTACTACAAACTGGCCGCTACTAGATGAGGCTTTATCCCAGTGGCAGCGACGACATACAAAGAAATGTTTTCCTACACTGGGCCCCTGCTTCGTCTGACAGCTGTAGGATACTGGAAGATGATACCAGTGTACAAAGATCAGACTATGCCTGCATTCAGCGAGAACTGGTTAAGCGGCTTCAATTGTTGTCACTCAATAAGATGGCATACCCTTCATGGTTCAATCTGCCACGGTCTCGACCTCCATACGTTATGAGACAAAAGCGATCTAAACCATCTGCTATGAATTTGCGTCGGTGAACATCTATAATATGGACGAGGTTGGTCTTTGCTAGAGTCATATGCCTAATGGTGAGCTTCAATCCGAGACAGCCAGAACAGAGACACGACAAGTATCATTATCGTCGTCGCTTCGAATGCGACTGGTTCGGATCGATTACCTATACGGATCATTGAAATCCTTACGCACGGAAAGGCATAGATATGGCTTCTATAGGATTTAAGTGCCGCTATACCAAGAAGGCTTGGGTGCGACACGATACTATGGAACAAAAATTTGGTGAGGCTCACCAAAGCGCCACCAAATTGCGCACCCGCTTTTTGGTCAGTATACCACTAGTGGTCAGGTCATGCGGCAAGCAACATTGGAGAATCAGTTTATGCGAAGTTTGCTTCTTTGTCTCTTCTCTACGTATGGGTTAGCCTATTTGCTGGTTTTTGTGTGTATCGTATTTTTGAGCTAATCAGGAGTGGCATCGGTTCATCGGCTATGACGAACCGCAATCGGATTCAACAACGAGTAGGGAGAGACCAAGACATCACTCCCACTCAAACGGAGAAAGAGCATGTGGTGGAAGTAGGTTTTTAATCTTCAAAAGATAGGTCATGACATGAAAATGAGGTTAAGCCAGCAATGATATCATGCCCAAGAATTTTGACAAGGAAAACAGAACAGTGAGTGATCCGCTTATTTCTTGTATTTGTGATACATATCAATGACCTTATGGACCTCTTTCTTAGACACAAGAAATACACCGCTCTTGTCGTGGATGTGCTCGAGAATAAACCCCATCAAGGGCTCCATGCGCGAGTTCACAGCAAGACCGCCAGCGTTCTCGAAAACCATAGCCATGGGCGCACACTCGTATAGGATAAGCGAAGATACCACTGTATAGTAAAGTTCGGTAAGCATCCGACACCATGGACCCAATGTAACGGGCGTTATAAGGCTGGCCACTCTTAGGGTACTTAATGGAGCGTAAGTATTGAGTGCACCACTCATCCCAGTATATAGAGTTACCCTCGTTAACGGAATGGATTGCACGGGAGTTAGGGATACGCATGTTTGGGTGAGTGAGGATAAACTCGCCTAGTGAGTTTTCTAAAGTGAAGCCGTTAACACCACCGCCGCGTACGGTGATAATAAGCTATGCGGAGGCACTATATGTGGTGAAACTAGAGGCGATAAGGCTAGTACTAGGATGTAAAAGAGCGTCGGGCCGACTTCCTTACCGGCGCCTAAGAGCTCCTTAGGGAGCTGGAAGATACCGAAAATGGTGCCTACTGAGACACTAGCGTCTAGGTTAGACGAACCGTTAATGGAGTCACATACGACGGCGTAACTAGCATTAGGGTACTCGCCGAACTTGATAAGATTCTCTTCCTCTTCTGAAATAAGGATCCGACACTTCCCAGAGCCGCGCATAGCGGATATGAAGATGTCATTGCTGATAACGTCAAGCTTCTTCTAATCGTCACCAGTTATGTTGGAGGAACCGACCAGACCGGTTAGATTAATTAACGGGGCACGGCGGATGTAGTAGGCGATCGACTTAAACGAAAATTGGAGTGCGTGGCACAGCAGGGTGAAGTCGCCCGGGGCTTCAGGGTATTTGGTTTGTTCTTTAGGCAGGAATCGGGAGAGAGTGACAATATTGGTGTTAATGTTCTCCTGGCCAACAGGGAGGCCGTTCTCGGGATTCACCATACAGATGATCTTTTTGTGAGGAACTGAAGGTGTAAAAGAGTATAGGGAGATCCGGTTGGGATGAGGGTAGTCATTCTTCCTCGCGTCACCTTTACCACTCTGATTTTCCCCTTGTGGGCCGAATTCATGTTCGTGGTCACCGAGACGATGGCGTTCTTATATGTGTAGTCCTAGAGAATAGACATACTGGATTGCCCTTCCGACGATCAGCGACGAAGTCTCTCTGCCCTCACGACCATCAATGAAGAAAGACATCAATGCGAGCGCCTGCATGAGAATTATTTTGTCGGTTACAAGAGCGATTTCAATAGATATCCTCATTGCAGTCAGGAGACGTCGTCCAAAATTTATAAACGCTAGCGGTTGGTCGCTGTCGGACAGGACGAGATGCGACCTCGCGACAAAATCCATCGAAGCTGCTAGACACATGCCCTGTTGCAGGAGGACCCGAGCAGGGCTGAGTGGGGGAAAAGCTGGTAGGCGGCTTGGTTGATGATCGGAAAAATGGGATGGATCTTCTCGAAATAGGCGGCGCAAAGTGCTTCGCGATGCACAGCAGGAGAAAGAATTGTGAGGCACTCTTCCTCTAGAATAGGCAAGAACACGCGTTTCGACTTGTGGTAGCTGCGTCACGAACGTGGAAGCAACGTTGAAATCCTGAGCGCGGATGGACCCTATCTGATGCTATGGTTTGAGACCGCAGCGACAGGTGACCCTTTACGACCAAACTACTGTCTTCTTGTGCTCTTGACTGTGTGAGGTCATCAATAAACTCTCCTTTTCAGCGATCGGTGTAGAATTTGGTTACCGCCAAGAATTGCTTCCTAACCAAATTTGGCAATACTCCGACGGTAAGGAACGGCGGCTGAGCCCAGTAAGTAGGTTGCCGCGCGGTGGGGCATATGTCGAATTTTAATGCGGAGTAGTCACGAAGCTTATTTACGTGGTATCATCGTTCCTGCATCTGAAAGCTTCCTCAGGGAATCGGCGGGGTGCGCTAGTTCGTGCCGTCCGCATGTACTCAACAAATCAAGTCCCCAGGCAGTCACCGATCCGATAATTGCTGCAAATGACACAGCCTCCAACGTCGGTAAGCAGCCTTATCGCACCCATCTCGCTAGCTGCCAAGCTAGATGGTGGATCGCAGCGGGTCTACCCGCCCATGCGTACGCCCCGCTGCTCGCATCGACAGAAATCCAGGATTGTGATTTCCCCGCTGGGGCCAGCGGGGCGGCGGCAGACATCGAATTGGGAAACTTAACCGTCGAGGTTCAGATCTTGAGAATCAAGAGAAAGACCGCTGTGGTGGAGCGGAGATACCCCTTTGGTGGAGCGGAGGTTCCAAAGGAAGTAATCTGCGTGAACCTTCGTCGTCGTGGTGCTTTACCATTTCCGACCAGGGTTACTCTCAAGTGGATTCCACCCGCGAATCACAAAGGCAGAGCCTTCCTCCAAATCATTCAATTTCCATTAAAAAAGGGTCCGCCTTCATGGCCAGACATTTGGTCACCAAAAAATGAATCTTGGCTGGTCCCGGCAATCTCCCCAATATGGGGTCCCCGCACCCCACGGGGTGGAGATGGAGCGTTCAACAGAGCATAGCTCCCATATCAACCACTATTTAAAGCCATTTAGACCCTCATCAGCTGCATTTCCTCCATCATCCCCTGCCAAACCTACTCAGTGCCTTTCTAGTCTCTTCCTTTCCATCAAATCAGTATCTTTTTGTGAAACTTCCACCATGCCTGGAGGCGGAGTTGTGCTTACGGCACCCACCAATGTCAATCGTATTGAGGCTCCTGTGTCATTCAAGGCGTATTTGATGTGCGCCTTTGCGGCCTTGGGGGCATCTTTTTCGGTTATGACTCTGGTTACATCAACGGTGTGATGGGCATGAAGTACTTTATCCACCGATTTACTGGCCTGCCTTATCCATCCGCAGACGCTTCGGCCGAAGAATTGGCCTACTTCGTCATTCCTGCCTGGAGATAGTCCCTGATCGTTTCTATTCTGTCGGCAGGAACGTTCATTGGCGCTTTGGTGGCAGGAGATATTGCTAACTTCTTTGGACGTCGAACCGCGATCATTGCAGGTTGTTTTATCTTCTCGGTCGGTGTCGTCCTCCAAGTGGCAAGTACCACGTATGATCTCCTGATAGCTGGCCGTTTGATAGCTGGTCTGGGCGTTGGCTTCGTCTCAGCCGTCATCATCCTCTACATGTCGGAGATCGCGCCCAGGAAGGTTAGAGGTGCAATGGTGTCTGGATACCAGTTTTGCATCACGGTTGGTATCCTGTTGGCGAGTTGAGTTGTCTATGGCACCCAAAACTTTACCAACTCCAGCTCCTACCGCATCCCAATTGCTATCCATTGGATCTGGGCACTCATTCTTGGTACGTGATTACTCGCCCTTTTCCCTTGGCCTTGTGGATTCCTCAGGGAACTGAGCTAACTTGTGGAAATACAACACAGACGACAGCTCTCGGGCTTGCATTTCTCCTAGAGTCACCCCGATATTTTGTTAAGCGTGGAAAGCTGCGATATGCCGTGTCAACATTCATAAACATAAAGTTCTACCAGTCAAAATACATTCAGGCTATTCCTCCAAGATATGGCAGGAAAGAAACTCTGCGGTCTCATTCAACTTGTTCTCAGCGATGATAATTGCCTATTTCGGTGATGAATATTCGACACCCAACATCGTATGGATAAATTGGTATGCAGAGACTTATCGACCAGCCTAGATTTGATATCATGTTGTTGGGATGTTTTGTTTTCCTGCTTCTGTTAGCATCAATTTCTGTCTATACTATTGTCAAAGTATTATTTTGCAGAAAAGGAAAAATAAAAAAAAAATAAAAAAACCATCGTATTCCTTAATCCTAATCCTGCATATAACGTTGGTTCCCGAAGCTTGCAGTCCAAACGACTATTTCAGTGCTCTCGCGAACCTGATCATCATCGAAGCCGTGCCCTTCGACTTTTCCGGAATCGTCGTTCCTTACGACCAAATAAAGAGCTTCTGGAGATACTCGTTATATTACCTGAATCCTTTCACATATCTCATGCAATGTTTATTAGAGCCTGTAGTATGGGATCTAGAGATACAGTACGATGCCGAGAGTCTGAACTCACCACTTTCCTGATACCGCCCAACATGATTTGTGGCAGCTACATGGCTAACTTTTTATCAAAGAACAGCGGCTACATTTCTCGTTGACACTGAGGCCAAATGGTTTTGTGCCTGCTGCCAGCACTGTATTCAATTAGAACACATTATCTCAAGACAATTAACATCACGAATTCAATTGATGGCTGGAGAGGGGTATGCAACTTGCTTATAGGCCCGTACAGCCATATCTCACACGAACTCACATCTTCAATAGGTCGGAATAGTTGCTTTGTTTTGTATCAGCAGTTATGCTCTGGTATTTCTGATGATGAGTATCCGCAGTAAGGTAACGAGAAGGGGAGAATAATTACGCGGTCGAAGGTCCAAATCACAAATGCAGTCACGCAGTCAAAGCGGAGTAGTGGGCAGATATCAGAAGACGCAATACATAACTAGAGACGATAGATAGGTGGAGGTTTGCGTGTTTGTAATAAATCTATACCGTTTCCAAGGTATCCAAAGAAAATTTAGTACCAAATTGACTCACCGTAAGACCTAGAACGCAACTTAGGATTGGAAACTTCTATTTCAAGATTCTCACATCAGGTTTATTCGAGCCGACTGGTACCCTTCTTCAGACTCCAAGTAGTTAGCAGACCGTAGTGGGGGGGGGTTCCTAAATAGGAAGCAGATCCGTCCAAGCCCCAGCCGACATTGCCACCAAGCGTTATTATGGAGCTGCTCCATAGTGAAACACTTGAGCAAGCATTGTTGTGAAGGACGAAGGTCAAAGATGTAATCGAAGGCGGGGCCATTGCTGGATTAGGCAAATTCCCGCCCCTAATCAGTTGCTATGGGAGTTGGCTATGGGATTGTTGCTCTGTTAGTACTAGATTTTCAATAGGTACCAAATCTGGCGCTCCGCCAATTTCCCCACAAAGCTGGGGGTATAAGACGCTGGTAGATGTACTTTTTTGAAACCCCGATTATCACAGGCGTCTACTTTGGCAGGTTGTGCGATTTCTGCTTCACATAACGACATTGCAACGTGGTTTGAGTCGCATCATGAACAGACTTGTCTCACCAAAATGCCTTCGGTGCCCAACCTTTCAGGCGGGCAAATGTTCGGGAACCACTAAGCGGCGATTGAAGACCGAAGCGACACCGCTCACTCGCACAGATAAGCAAGAGGGCGATATTTCCTCTGTGTTTTCTACCTTCTCCGGCAGAAAGAGCGCGCCGCTGCCAGACCGGTTTCGAGATCTGAAACGACACTTAACCGTTGGCTTTGAAGAAGAGATTCAAAAGTCATGGGATGAGCTTGTTGAGGTCCTAAAAGTCCGGACTGAGGAGGTTGCTACCAAGCGAGAGTCGGTATGTTCCAGGTTATCTTACGAGCCGACGATCCCAGATCTAATGTAGCCAGATTATCCCTCAACTGAACTTTGCGGATATTCAAGCCGGAAATGTATCGGCCGCTAACAAGGAAGCAATTCGACAAACTGGTGTTGCTGTCATTAGAGGAGTCGTGCCAAAGGAGAACGCTGAGGCGCTTCTCGCTGATGTTCGACAATATTTTAAGGAACACCCTTTCAAAGGCTTTCCAGCCAATGCAGACGAGAAGGTACGTTATATACGGAGACGCTTCTCTGAACTATGGTTGACTTGGATCTAGGTCATTTACGAATCATACTGGAGTCCCTCTCAGGTGAAAGCCCGGTCGCATCCCAACATGCTTGCCACACAATCTTGGATGAACCAATTGTATTCTGCTGCCCCAGATCAAAAGAGTGAGCAACCGCTTCAAGATATCTTTACTAAAGTCTACCAACCATTATAGAGAGGAGCTAACATGGTGTAGTTGATCTTTCGGTTCCATTGACCTATTGTGACCGTGTCCAAATCCGCCCACCTGGAGATAGACATTTTGGACTTCCTCCTCACGTTGATGGCGGAGGAGTTGAGCGATGGGAGGATCAAGCTTACAACCACGTCTACCGCAAAATCTTCCAAGGAAAGGTTAGATACGAGATCTATCTGTGAATTGGAAAATGGTCAACTAATACATTAACCAGTGGAAAGAATACGACCCATGGGATTTGACGGGCCGTCTAGATGCCAATATGAACATGTATGAAGCCCCAGGAGGGTGCTCTGTTTTCCGAGCATTCCAAAGCTGGCTCGGACTTTCACGTCATGGGCCTCAGGAAGGTAAGTAGAGGACATATAAAATATTAATACTGAAAACCCCGAATACTTACGTTGAATAAGGTACTCTCGTTGTTCACCCCATCCTGCAGCCAACTACTGCCTATTGGATGCTTCGGCCTTTCTTCAAGCCTACTCGCAAAGATTCACTTGATGGGTGGAAGTTCTCTCTTGATGATGAAGAGGGAGACCTTTACCTTCACGGTGCTAACCCTGGAACGGCCCAAGAACATACACCTGATCACCATCCTCACCTGAGACTCCAGGAAACCATGATTCCATATCCTACTGTTGAGCCAGGAGACACCGGTAAAAACCAATATCTAATTTAGCAATGAATCAAGGCTAACCTTTCTCAGTGTTTTGGAGCGCTGATACCATCCATGGCACCGAGACTGTCAACACTGGAAATAACGATGCGTGTGTATTCTACATTCCATCCGTTCCTTTGACCCTGAACAATGCGGTAAGTCGGTTATTCCCTTCATATATGAATCTCGTACTGACTACTTATAGCAATACGTCGCCCAACAACGTGATGCCTTCCTAAAGGGTGTTCCCCCACCCGACTTCCCGGGAGGCCTGGGTGAGACCGGGTTCTTTGACAGAGCCAATGTTAAGGATGTCCAATCCGAGGCCGGAAAGGTGGCCATGGGCCTCAATCCTGTCGATTTGAAAGGCAAGAATGACGGTCTCGAGAAGGAGATCAACAAGATTTTGGGATACTGAAAACGTCTACATTCGAGGTTTCATTCCTGTTCAATATCAATGTCTTATTTCACTAGTTAATCAATTGATCGCATTTGATAAACTCCTCAAGGTACAAAATGCAAAAGTGACTGGCAGTCCTGGTACGTTGTAATGGCGCGACCCCAAACTTGTGCTCGTTAATCCCTGCCAGTGTAGTATTAAGTAATATGATGGCCCTTTTCATAGTTATCATTCCAAGAAATTTCACTCCACTTATCGCATCCCACACGTCCCCGGAGGGAAAGAAGTTTGGTCCCCAATACGGCCCCACGGTGCTTGATGAAGAACTAATCATACCCCGGAAATCTGAATGAAAGATTTACCTATTGTCCCATCCTTCAGCTGCAATTTTCAGACGATAAGGTACTTCTCTAGTCTCATTCTGTATATGACCGCGCAAAGCGCCGAATGTGTAATAATCTGCAAAGCGGCATTTCCGATACAGCTGTGTTGCGGGTTCTCTTACATTTCCACAATCAGTCATAATCGGGTGGTCATTCTAACATGTCATGAAAAGACTTAGTTTGAAAATCATGGTGAACTGTTTCGTTGCTCAGATCAAGCTTATCGCATTACCAGTAGATTCCAAAACGTAGCCTCGTACAAGGAATCAAGGAATCATTTATAGTTCAAGAAGTGACTAATCCTCCCGGGCCTAAACCTATTGGGACCCTCAAAATATTAGCGCTTGATTGGATTCTTGGAGTAAATCTTGCGCAGTGAAAAAAGAGGTTGGTCAACTGGATCGCGTTGAAGTTATATTTGAGGGCTCTTAAAGGCACTTTATTACTGCTAGCGGTGCTGAAGTCTTGTGAGGTAATCACATTTGAGTATGTTCATAGAATTCTTCTACCGCGATTGAAGACACGCACGAAGGTTTTGTCTTTATCGGTGGTATAAAATGGAACCATCTGCACCTTGACTTCTATTACAACATCTACCATTTGTTCTTCAATCCAAAATAGGCTCGCCTGGGCCATTTCCCAACATTTTGTTTCGGTTCTTCAGATTAAGTGTAGTTACTGCAGCCAATGCACAGGCACTGAAAGGAAGTTTGGTCGTAAGCACCTGTGATACCGTCAATGTACTAAAGCAAAGTCTTAACCTTGAACCTTCCATCAATTACATCATTGCTGGAAAGCAAAATTCTGTGTCACTCTCGTCTGGTTGTGAGAGCCAGATGGTAAGTATGTTAAGACCGCAGGGCAGAAAAGTGATGCAATTATAAAAGCAACCAAAGATCCATCGTCGACATGTTGCCAACAGCCAATGGCATCTCTCGTTTTTCTCAGTCTGCCTGTTGCCTTGTCGCTGCAACCGCGTTTGATAAGATCCAACGTCAAATGCCAGCGTAGTTCTGGGTTTGTCCCATTCTGCTTTCAACTCGGGCATGGCGAGATTCTGAAAAATGACATCGAAGCTCCCCAGATCTGTCACATTTTGACTTCCGCTATGTTTTCCTTTGTGCCTGGTAACCGCACTCTCCATCGCCTCTTCCAGACCAAGAAGCTATGGGTGAGTTGTAAGAGCGGAAGACCAGAGGAAAGGCGAAACTCACGGAATGAGTCAGATTCGTACCTTGACCCTGTTATTGAGAAGGCCACCTTGCCAGTTACATGATATTTGACTGATTCCACTCAACCAATTTCCTCATCTTGCTCCCTCACTGGCGGGATTGTGGTTGACTCGTTCAACAAAGCTATATTTATGCGAGGCTATGGGGTGAAGTGGATGCATATACGTCCTCCGTCTTATAGGATAGGATAAACCATTTTTGACCACCACGCCCCACTCCTATAGGACTAGTTTTTATGAAATTACCCATGCCACGGTCTATCCTATGGTGGGAATCCCGCGGGTTTTGTCCAGGTCTATGCCTTACACATGACCTACACGTTGTCCCGTTTATCTAGGATAATTAGGTATAAATACCCCGCGGGTGGTGCGGCCCCCTATTGGTCCATAATATATATATACTATAGTTTATGTTATCACTTATATCTAATCTAACTATATAAGGCCCATGCCTTAATAATTTCAAAAAGTTTCTAGCGATTTTATGCAAAAATGGGTTAAAATGGGTTATAAATGGGTTTTTAAATTAAAATTTATAACCCATTAGGTTAGGTTTGGGTTCAAGCTCATAACCCATAACCCGCGTGCGGGTTAGGTTCGGGTTGAAGTTTATAACCCATTTACGGGCTATGGCGCAGACTACATCTACTCACCCTTACTTACCCCTTTACTTAGTGAGTAGGTGAAACGTTTTTAGGTGTAAGCCTAGGGGGTGCTAGGTATTAGGATATGCACGTGACTTGATACTCTCGTAGTTCCTAGGAGTCTAGGAGCCATCTTAGACCTACAGACCTTAAAAAAGGTGGTTACTAGGCTGAAAAAGCATGCGTTAGATTCGGCTTTGAAGCAATTAAAAATAATTCCATACTGGGATATTTGGCTACTTACTGCGTGCTGCACCTTGATCTGTATATATATAGGCTAATGTCTGCTCACTAAATAAATTTGCTGTATCTGCTGAATGTCTTAGGCTGCTGTATCACATCCATCCATCCGTGTTTATATTATTCTTGAGCTAGGACATCTCTAGCTGGGAAATAATGCCTGAAATGCCTGCGCTCTTTTGTACCTCTGGGCATAACCCCCCTGGTCTATAGCATACTGATCACGAGCGCCGTGTGCCCGCTCAACCAGCGAGCCGACCGCATCGCAAATGCCGCGCCCAGTTGCGGGCGAGAGATCGACAAAGTGACAGTCCCGCTGGGTTGCAGCAAACGCCTCGGCTTCTGCGTGGGACACGGCGGCTTCTTTACCTTGACCTTGACCTTCACCTTCACGCATGGCGGCGATCATTGTCGCAAGGAAGGGGCGGACCCCGGCTTTTTCGCAGCGGCTACGCATCCCCTGGCAGGCGGCGACTGTTTCGTCCCACGATTCCCTCGACGAAGTATCGCACGTGAAGACGAGGCAGACATGCTGCATGAGGGTGAGTAATGCTATGCGAGACCCTGCGTCGCTAGGCGGCGGGATGAAGTAGACAGTATAGAGATACCCGTCGCAAAGGTAATCTGTGTCGAAGTCATGTGTAGGGTTGAACTCCCAGCAATCCTTCTCTCGCTGGAGTAGCTATAATAAACCGCGCGCGCGGGGTGGGGTGAGCTGGGGGCCGGCTAGGGTAAGGGTTCTCGCAGCAATATTATATTGCGCTGGGTGGGTACGTACCCTGTAAAGGTCCGAGTAGCCGACGGCACCTTTGGCGTTCACGACGATAATAGTCATGGACTGTTGATCGGAACCGGGCTTGTGGGGTAGTTTGGTGGGTGACCGGCTCACGTCACTCATATGGATGGCGTGAGGGGGGTGGGTCAATAGGTTCGCTCTCTGTTGTCATAGCCAGCGCTGAGGATGGCGCGGGCTCGTTGCCATGACTGTCACGACCACGAAGCTTGCCAAACCTGAGCCTGGCGCACGATAGCATGGATGACAGTGGGTGAGGTGGGCAAGGTAGGTGAGTGGAGACGAGCAATTCTCGGAATATACCTGGAACCGAGGCACGGCTGAGCTTGGCGGTGATTTATGTGGAGATAGCTGAGAAAAGATGTCAGAATTGACTGACGGAGATGCTCCGTGATAGTTAATGGTTGAAGAAGTCGGACAACGCCTTGGAGGTATAGGGGGCAGGGGGCTACTTTATCTCACCGCCCGGAAGCCTAGAGTATGGACCTCGGGGATAGTAAGGAGCTAGTTACGAAGGTGTGGACCAACCTTGGTAGGGGACTATCGTAATACTAGGAATAGCATGCTCCTTGACTCTTCTCAATCACTACAGTCGCAGCAGCGTAGTGTAGTCAAGTTATATTATTGTTACATTCGCTTAGGGCATTAGGAGGGCCAGATAGCAGACTAGCGCTGTTCCTAGCGCTAACTCCTGGGAGACACTATTAACCGAATTTCCAGAGCCGGTAGACAATCGAAATTCGGCAGTGGATAGAGAGACTCCCTGTCTGAATCTATAAGGGCATTTTGGTCATAGATAAGCACGCTTAAATAGTCCTTCTAGGCTTGGTTTTGGTATTAGTAGAATAAACATGATCTAGGTAACATAAAGCTACTTTTAGAATTTTCATAGCCCTCTTATAGCCCTTATAAATCCTTCTTAAAGTTAGTGCATCATGGCGTTATTGGCGGGATATGGAGTGGCAGAACTAGACCGCCCTCTAAGGCGCTAACCGAAAAGCGTAGAAATGATTATATTTAGGTTACGCTAAGCCAGAAGAGGGAATTTTAATTACATGGCTTTACCTCTACTATCTAAGCCATAAGGTCTTCAAAACTTTTAGTGGATAAAGAGTGAAGCCTAGACGCTATATCTTATAAAAATCATCATAATTAATGGTGATATAGGAGTGCTACTTAACGTTTAAAATTTGAAAAGTAATAGTTAGTAGGTAGTGGTTAGTAAGTAATAGTCAGTAAGTAATAGTTGGTTAAATCTTATAGGTTAGACTATTACTAGAAAGGAAATATTTCTAGGATCCTAGATATAATCTTAAATCCTATAACTATTATAAAATATGCCTTAAATTAGCCTTATACCTATCGGGGGGCCGCTACTAATGAATTTTATAGTTACTAATAAATATAGAATCCTCTTATCTTAGGCGCTTTTTACCTTAGAATCTTATTAATATCTAGGACTAGGTTACCTCTCCTTTTTATAGTAGAAGATCTAGCTTACTACCTTATAAAGGTTCTAGAGGTTCTAGAGATAGAGAAGAAGATAAAGCTAGAGGTTAATATAGATATAGATCTAGATCTAGATCTAGATCTAGAAGACCTATATTAAGGTTAGGTTATTAACTAGGTAAGGTTTAAGATATTATATATAATTTAACTATAGAATAGATAGAGACTAATCCTTAAGGAATTAACTAATTCCTTAAGTATGCTAGATATATATATAATAGGGTAGAACCCTGATTAAGCGAGTCATATAGGTACTTTTTAGGGGTAGATTAGGCATAATTAGGTAGTATCTTAGCCTATCCTAATATTATGCCCTATCACGAGGTTACGCTATAATAATTATCTCCCGCCTTCTTTAATAGAGTTAACCTTGACGACTTAGTAGAATAGTATAGAATTACTAAATAGGGTAATAATTAAGGCTAGGTTAAATTATAAATAATAAGTAGATATAGTGAGGTAACAGGACTACCTATTACCGCCTGGTAGAATCCGGCTAGATTCTACTAAGCCACACCGCCTCTGGCCGGACCCTTAAGAGGAGAATCATTAGGATTCTCTTTAGAAAACATGTAATCCTACTTGAATCATATCTAGTAGTATGTCTAAAAATCATATAACTATTCTATAGTATATGAACTAGAAGAAAATACTCTTCTAGTAAACTAGATCTAACCTAGAAATTCGACCTAGAGTTATTATGCGTCTATGTGGATCTAACTAGCCTTTACTAAGAATGTATATAATAAAATAAATAACTCTAGAGGACTATATCCTTAGAAAGTGTTTAGAATACTCCTAAGTTACTAATAATCCCACGCTCGCCTTTAAAACCTCCTAAGGAATAATGCTCGATTAAATAGATACCTCTAGTGTGGGCCCTATGACTTTATAAGAACCTTAACGCCCATGACTAGCCTAGGTATTATTTAGTGAGAACCACTACCGCACTAGAGAATAACTACCCAAGAATATATAGAATACTCTAGGCACGTTAAATATAGCTATAGTAGCCTCTATTTATAAAATATGGTATATATTAGACGACCCTATAATACTAGCACTAGTTATGGAAAACCTGATCCGCCTTATACTACGCGATCATGACTATATATAGAGAGTTAATAAAGGGCCTAACTATAGCTAGAGAGAGCTAAATAAACTACTTATAAGGGATATAACCCTAATCGCTTAGTATAAGGGTAAACTATAAGACTAAGTGGTAAGAAAGTTTCTAGAAGACTATAAACGATACTTTTATGATATAACTATGCTTATATAGTAAGTCCTAATAGAGGAGTATAAGGTTATCACGGTGAGCGGGAAGCTCATAGGAAGGGCTAGGGAGGCATAGAAGGCGTACTAAGAAAACTACCTTAAAGAGACTATCACGACCTTTAAAGGGTTTATAACGTGGGTTAATACCTAGTTTTTAGAATACCTTAGTCCTAAAAAGAGATAGGACTACTTTAATAGCCTCTAGTAGGGAAAGATAGGAGTCTAGATATATATAAGAGACCTCGCCTAAGCTATAAGAGATACTAGATTTGATATCCCTAAAGCGGTAATAATATAATACCTATAGAAGGGAGCTAATATACCTCTATAATAACGCTAGGTAGAGATAAACGTCTCCCTATATACCTTTCTTAAAGCTAAGTAATAATTAATCGAGTTTAAATAAGGTTAGATACTATTAAACTATATTAGTCGATATATAGTAGAGACTAACCCTAACGTAATAGACCTATCTACTCTCCCCTTAAAGCCTATATATAGATCTATAAATATATATAGATCTATTAAGGGTTAAGATAAGAGGACACACTATTATTTTTAGTATAACGAACCTAGTTATATTAGAAGAGACTATAAATAAGGAAGCGAGAATCTAACTATATCTACCTAGACGCGCTTAGGAAACTAGTTAGGTTAATAGAAGCCCTTATCGACTATATAAAGAAGGCTTCCTATATACTAGATCTAGAGGGGAATGATCCTCTTAATCTAGGTTATTATAGTTAATTAGGACTAGCTATTCTAATAGATCTAGCCTTAGACTAGTCCCTATAAGTCTAAGTTTCTTTAAATATCATAGGTGACTCGCTTATGTACTTTAATTATAGGGTAGATATTAATATACTAACTACTATTTAAGCCCTTATTAATAGTAGGGTATCTTACTTATTTATTACTGTTACGCGGTGCTGACTGCTTATAGTGAGTATCGCTTGTATGGTCCGTTATACGTACGTCGAGGCTCGGCCTTAAGTCTCAATCGCAACTGTACTGTTGCCTGAAGGCCTTATACGGGCTTGGGTCTATAGAGTAGACTCTTATTGGTCTGCGCTAGATAGTGCGCCTAGTCAAGCTATGCTTAGGATCTGTGTTGAGTGACTAGAGACTAAGGATACCTCTCCTAGTAGGGTGGGTTGTCTTAAATACGAAATAAGTATAAAGCTAGAGCTGTAGGTTCCAAGTAATAATGTATGATTGAACGCGAAGAACTAAATATATCTGTGGTAATGACCGTCTTTATATATCTAATCCGTCGCATCGCTTGATAAGTCTGGGACTTATTACTTGATCTGTTCTGGTCTTATCGCTTGATGAGCTACACTCATCGCCCAATGAGTTGGCACGTGATCCTTTCCTAGGATCCTTATTTTCCTAGGATCCTAAGCTCCGTAGGATCCTCTATATCGTAGGATATTTATGGTTGTTAGTAACTATAGTCTATTGTAGGGTGTTGTTGATCGTAGGATATCTTATGTCCTAGGATTCCCCCTTTTGGTTTCTAAACTGTGGCTTATCGTAGGGCATCCTTGATTATAGGGCGGAATCTATCGTAGGATCTTTCCTGTTGCCGATAACTATGGCGTATCGTAGGGTACTCCTTATCTGGCGATCTTGCTTATTATGCGATTGTCTATTTCCTAGGATGATACTGAATCGTAATGACCTTTGGTTATCACGTATCGTGTATCCTGTTGTGAAGAGGCTATGGTTCTTCGAACCATGTCTTGCACGTGACCTACACGTCGTCCCGTTTATCTAGGATGATTGGGTATAAGTGCCCCGTGGGTGGTGCGGCCCCCTATAGGTCCGTAATATCACCCCCTCCTTTCCTAGGTCTTTATCCCTAAAGACTCTCGTGTCTTATAACCGCCTACTCCCCTCTCCTAGTAAGTGTTGGTTTTTGTTTCCTTTTCTATCCTTTAGCCATGACCCTGTCGCCATGCCTTTGTCCAAGTCCTCCGTCTAGAAGAATCAACTAAGTGATCGTTTTTCCGCAGAAGGCTTAGGTTAGGGTGGTTAGGGTGGTTAGGGTGGTTAGGGTGGTTAGGGTGGTTAGGGTGGTTAGGGTGGTTAGGGTGGTTAGGGTGGT